AAACTAGCAGTAAATGAGCTGCTTAAGCAACTAAAAAGTAGCTTTGCTTTTTAAAATAACAGACTTTTCCTGATTGTACTACTGTTCTTTTTGTCAGTATCTTTAAAATACAAGGGCATTTCCAAACTGAATTCAGAAATAAGCCTGGGGTCTGGCTCTTGACAGCACTTACAAATAAATTAAAAATGGGAACAGTGCTGATGAGGCTGGATATGGACTGTGAATTACAACTTAGTGCTGACTCCTTTTCAGCTAAGCCACAGGCACAAGAGAGGTACACAACTGTCCTGTAGTCTGGGGAGATATACAAAAAACTACTGAAATCAACAGTGCTGAAATAAACAGTGTTAAAGCTGGAGAGATTTGTTATCGTTCTTCTCAAGCGCAAACTGTAGCAGATTGGCCAAGTTGTGTACATGAACTATAGTATGAAAGCTGCCATGCAGGAAAGCCAGTAAAAGAAGGGTGACGATGAAGGATTCTCCAGCAAAACTGAGCAAAATCTAGTGTGTCTGGAAAAAAAACCAACCAAACAAACCCCACCTGGGGAGCAGTTGAAGTGATACTCAGGCTTTCCTGCAGCAGTACACTCAGTACAGGATCATTCACCTTTTTCAGATCAGTCTTCTTTTAAAGGATTAATATTTGTCTGGAATTAACACCACTGCATATTACATAAGAGTATCTGCTCTAACACTTACACATGCACATATAAGCACTCACTATAGACTGACTGATCTAATTCACAATATGAAACAGCTGGTTTTAATTTTAACCTTAAATAGCGGAGCACGGGAAGACAGATGGGAATAATGGAAGCCAAAATTAAGTTGCCAACAAACTTCATAATATCAGAACAGAAATTCTGAATAGTTTTCAGGATGCTGTTGAATTCCTTTGTCCAGGTACTGGACTTCAGTAATGCCTCAAATTCTATTAATGATATTAAAGTAATAAGCCCTAGAAAAGAATATTCTAATCAAAAATTTTATTAAATAATCTAGATGTTTGACCTGCATTCAGTAGGAACTGTATTGGAAAGTTCAATGGTAAGGAAAAGGCATATGATTGGCCAAAACTGTTGCTAATTCATAATCATGTGTATGCTAATGCCCACTACTAACCTGTCCCAAATAACACCGCTTGCTTGCGTTATCACTAGCGTGGCATGCACAAGGAATGGCTGTTTGATGCTCGCTCTGACATTAACGTACTAAAAGTATCGGAGACTCAACTGTGTCAAGTTGTTCACGTTTTGACTGTCCAGTTTCACGTTGCACTTTTTCCACGTACAGAAAATCCTCTCTAGAAATCCACGTGTTTTATACAGAGGTTCATTTTTGTATTCGATGTGGCTGTGCCGTTGTTTGTCACAAATACTCCTTTCCTGTGTCACTTCACACTTTGTTACCTCCTTTTCCGATTCATCCTTCAACGTGCAGTCATGGCAGGGAGAACTTCATGCCTGCATCTAAACTTGCAGGACACCTTTTGAACAGTACTTTAAATGACAGTTCAAAGGTGCAGTGGGTACTGTGAGGTAGTAGGGAGAGGGCAGTGCCTCTGCCGCTTGGTTCTGTGCTCATCTCTTCTGAGGACAAGTTCCGTGTGGAATATTCTGAGTAAGAGAAAAATGCAAGAAGAATTTGGGAACTCCCACAATTGCAGTTTATTCTTTTATGTAATATTGCTTCTATTAACAATTGTAAAAATGACTAAAAAAAAAAAAAATCTAAAGTTTAAATGAACTGACTTTAAATTACTTAAAATTTAATCTCTTTTAGAAACAGCAGTTAACACAGTGTAGGGGGCATAAAGGAGAGCTGCTGATGTTATGAAACTTGGTTTTATGGATCAGGGAGTTATTTTAAGCACATGAATGTGAGGCGAAGTGAAAAGGTTTGGTTTTAAAGTAGCCCCAGTAATTATTTCTTCATTGCTATCAGAGGTCTGCTGAACAGTGATTGTCTTGCAGGTTTTCACTGGGTATAGCCCAGTAACCAGGATGACAGTGGCTTCCAAAATGAGAATGAGGGCTGGGGAGAGAAATCTACTGAAAAGATTCCCCCAGGTGATGGTGTTTAACAAGTCGTGACAGCACTGGTGGTTTGTTCTGTGCCTTCTGGATGATTTAATTTCCCACTGAAATGCTATTTTAGCAGAATATGATACTCCCCAAGACTCTGATACAAGACGGGAGAAAATGTGTAGTTCACACCTCACAGGAAAACATGAATCTTGGAGTCATGTTTTTGGGAAAGTTGCAGCCATACAGATGCAAACATTTAACTGCTTACTCAGTGTCAGGCCAGGGTATGATGAAGTTCCAGCTCCTGTATTAACCATATCACTGAATATAAAATTGCTGCCCATGCGTGAGGCTGGCTGGCACCCCAGTAACGGGCTGGGAGGGGCAGGGGAGGCTGCGCTCAGACCTCAGTTCTCTGTCTGCTTTTGCCTCTTCCATGTCATTTAGCTCAGAAACTTTCAACTTGAACATTTATTAAGTAACTTCTGGGCTAATTTTAAGACTTAATGTTTGAGACATGAGTCCAAGTGTTTATAGGATGCCTGTCTATGCCACCTATGTTTAAAAGCGAGGTATTTATTTGGATTCCTTATTGATTCAGGTGATCTGTGAGTTTGTTTGGAATAGCTGCTGGATTGCAGTAAGTGATGTCGTGGCATATTAGAAATTAGCTTTCAAAATACTGACTTAATATGTCAGTTATATTTTTTGAACTGTTATGGATTTTTCTGGTCTTCTAAACTACCAGGGCAGTCAGTCATCAGAAGTGCAACATTTTGAGGTCCTTCTTGGACACTTTGGCTTGAACAAAATTCTCCTCCCCTCGGAAGAGGCAGAGAACACGATGTTCCCTGTTATACACAGGAAAGGGGTTTAATCTGCATTCGGTTTAAATAATTTCTTCCTCCTCTTGTGACAATGCCTCCTTTTGACACTGTACATGTTCCTATTGCTTCTGAAAGTCATAGGTGGCAGTTACCTGGCTGATGATTCAGGTGCCAGATTTTTTTGCTGAGTGACCATTGTGTTTTGACGTGGAAGTCTGGAGTAACAAATCGCTCTTAAGGGGCACTGAGGAATCTGGTACTAAATTGTACTTGCTGTCTTCCCTTCTTCACAGACAAACATTTTTTATTATTATGTACAAGACTACAAAGAGTTATGTAGGAGAAGCAACTCAAACGTAAGCTTTTTAGTTTGGCTTAGCCTTTTTGTGTCCATGTGTGCACGTGCACATATGTGCCAGCCCTCTGTTTGAAAAGCTTTTGTTGATCTTTCCTGTCCCTTTTCTTTCTAAGGAAATGCACCAGAAATACACTAGTGGATGAGATGTCACTGTCCAAACTGCTAAAATTGCTCTTCCATGTTTTCTTTTGTGCAGACTCTAATTCCAGTATTCAAGAACCACTTCAAAACCCTTCTTCAGAGCTTCTTACAGAGACAGCGAGCAAAGAACTGCACAACCACCTCATGCTCGATATTGACAATGATACGGAAAGCACTGCTCTGTAACAGAAACTCTCCCACTTCCTGCAGTTCCTCTCCTGGTGGGAAAACTAACAGACCTAACAGTGAAAAGCTTCTTTTGACGATATGGCAGCACTGTGCAGAGTTGTGACTTGTGCATCACTGAGGAAGTGATTTAGCCATTCAGAAGAAGTTTAATGATCTGTGTCTCAACAATGGTTTTCAAAATCTTGGATGGAAGGAATTAATTACTGCAGAAACTTGCATAGGAAGCATAATTGCTGCTAATACAGATGCTATTAGCAGAAATTCCAAAAGAATAAGAAGCAGAACGTTAGTTATTTAAAGTGCATGTATTATGGAAATAATCTTTTTAATGTCACGGTTAGACTTTTATTTCTAGTTCTTAGACATTACAAGGAGATGCCTTGCAAGAGACATTCCCACACTGATTTGCTGCAGATTCTTTTTAAAACGTGAACCAAAAAATGCCAGAGTGCTGGTGGTGACTGCTGGTTATCAGTCGCCTTGTCAAAACTGTGGATGTATTCTAGTGCCTTGAAGGACTGTCATACTGTAGAAGAAAACTTACTGTATCTTTAATCATTTCATTGCTACTTAATGATCAGTACTTAATACTTATTTCATAGTTATTTGTATTAACCAAGCCTGCTTTTGTTTATGTGGAACTGGCAACTGTTTCCAGATGAAGCTGTGGAAGTGGTTTTTGTGCTTTCATTGAAAACGGTTGAGTTTTGAAAGAACTTTGGAACAGCTGTTTGGATTAGTCAGTCGGGTGAACATTTATAAAATTAAAGATTGTCTTTTGTCAACTTAAGGCATCTTTATTCAAGTTTGTGAGTAACATTGCTTCCAGTGGGCATGGGAGGCCATGCAGTCGTTCTCTGGGCTTTGTAGCTGTGCAGCTTGTTCTTTTAACGGAGGCATACTGGGGATGAATGTGCATCTGTTCCTTTATGTGTAGGTTCATGTTAAACACAAATGAGTCCAGCTGCAAAGAGGAACCCTAGATACAGCCTGGATCATGCAGAGAAGTGAGATGGAACAGGCCACACCATTTCTGCAAAGGAGAGGGAGGGAGAGGAAGCTTGAGTCAATTGAGGTAACGCTTATACAAGTAGTTGAATTAATTTACTTAAACCATAAATTCATTAATACTCCATAATACATTTTATTGAAGTTATTAAACTAGACCTTAGGCTTAACAACAAAGTAAAACTGCGTTTCATAAAGGTCTTGACAAGACACATTGCACTTGGTGATGTGATGAATATATTTTAGTTGCTGTCTCATTTGAAATCCCAGTGGCTGCCCAGTTGTTTCCTGTTCAGACATCTCTTAACAGGGAAGATGACCCCCGGTAGTGGGTGTAGACCTGCTTTACTCTGTCACTACACGAGCACTGTTACAAACTCCTGTCACTCCAAATGCAGTGTTAGGAGACAGAAATTCTAGTGATGTTACTGAATTTGATGTTTCCCTCTCAAGCTGTATGCAGTGTACCTGAATCCAGGGCAGGCTGTGAAGGGCTTAAATAAATTCTCAGAAAATCTTCTGGACTTGCACATTCTTCAGCATTATGCAAATAGTTAATTGTCTCTGCCGGGATTAGCAGCTCAGGTGCAAGTGTGTGTACACTCTCATTCGTATCCTCGTCATCCTTGATAATAAACAGCATATTTCAGTGCAGTTGCAATAAGAGCACAGAGCTATGACACTGTTAAAGTTGAGGAAATTGGCTCTTCTCTACCAAACAGCTGTATCCTCTGTCCTAGGAGTGCACAGCAGTGGCAGGTATCAGCTTCATGAAGGACTTTTCACCTGGCTTTAAGCTATGTTGGTGCAGTTGATTAGTTCAGTCAAATGGCTGCACAGAATAACCCTACAGAGGTCTAGAAAGAAACTTGGAATGAAATAATGAGGTTTTGCAGTGCTTTAACACTGCTTCTAGAGTCCTCTCAGGTGTATGTGCTTGTAAACTCCGCTTGGAAGGCAAGCGCGGTTGCTTGCCGGTGTGGTCTGGGGGGGATTTGTGGGGTAAATTTCTTACAGCAGTTATTTGAAGTTTACCTCGACACTCTGCATGCAGGCTGCCAGTTTGAGGAGGAGGGTGAGGCACTCTGTGACCGCCTCTGCTGTAGACTGTGATTGTGTCTGGCCTTGTGGACATGTCACGGGAGATGTTGCTATTGCCACATACCAGTCCGGGAACAGTCTGGTGGGGATGTTATGTGCCACCACTAAAACTTTAATTTCCTGGAGTAAAGCCCTGTGTGGAAAGAGAGTGAATTCCATCCTAAAGTGCAGCAAGGAGTTTTTATCAGATGGTCAAGTTTCATAAACTACAGCATGAGTTGTTTGCATTCCCAGAGCAGTGTATGCATGCAGCACCCTGCACCCCTCCCACCCCAGCCACCAGAAACCTTTTCTGATTGCACCACGATGTTACTGTGCAGAGGTCCTGAGTGGACTGGTTGATGTGATGGTAAGAAACAAGCAAAAGAGCAGTAGGGATTTAATAAGCAAAGGCAGGAGTGTGATGGCAGCTTGCTTTGACAGGAATTGCATTCACAGCAGAGAAAACAGTGCTGCTCTCATGGAGCTGGATTTCAGTGAATTAACACAGGGCCCTAGAGAAACACCCAGGTTAAGGTAAAGACAAGAACTGGCTGAACTCTGTGGGACTGGTTGGAGAGTGCTGAAAGGGCAGGTAGGAGGCTGGAAGGCAGTGACTAATAGTCTAAAGATAACTTTTGGAATTCCCGTACATATATCTAGAAATGTTTACAAAGCAGGGTACAGAAATCATACAGCAGATTCCTAAGGAAGGAATTTTCCTGTTTTCTGAAACCTCTGAAGGCTGCTGCCAGTTTGATTGATGGATTGATGTTTTGAAGATGGACTCCAAGGCAGAGGGTGGGGCAAGAGCCTGCTGGCAATGGGTCAGCTGCTGACCACATCCAGAAATTATGGGTCATGTTAGCTGGAAAATGTCAGCTCTTCTGTGGTCAACAGGCATTCAGTGGGAGAATAAAAGACTGATACCATTGCAGTTGATGTTCAGTTTAACCTTAAGCATTCTACCACCTTGGCTAAAATTTTGTTTCATCTAAGTGAAATGGAATATTTACCTATGACCTTGACTTTGGAGAGAAGCTAAATCTTGGATGATCAGATGGATGGTGCTACTGCAAGACTGCAGAGGAAAGGGTAGACTTGTTATGGAATTACATATCACAAAGTAATTTGTGAACATAAAAATAATTCAGTCGCTGCCCTGCACGGGCTTTCCCTGGGAGTCACAGGTGCTGAGGACAGCGCACGATCTTCCTGGTAGGTCTGAGGGAATATGTCATCTAATTCTGCCAGAATAATGTTGTGGGGCAGTTACATGAAACATTGTGTGGGGCAAATCCCAGAGGTAAGCGCCTGAACCCACCAGGTCTTTAAGCCTCTGTGCGGAGCAAGAGCTGGTTACACATTTGTAGTTAGCTGGATCTTAACAGATTTGTACAAAGATGAATCAAGGTTACTTCATCCCACCAGGAATTTACATAACTTACCTCTACAACATGACAAATATAGTTGGAATGGAGAAGTAGCAGACCTGAGACTTGTTCTGTAGAGTGGTCTTCTAATGCATCTTCAAACACTCTTCTGTGATAACCTTGTTCCAAAAGAAAAACTGGCAGTTTGTCAAACACTTTACAGCAATAGTTGCTGCACGTTAGTGTTGTGTGGTCTGTTCTGTATTCTCTCTGCTGCCACAGACAACAGATTCACAGATTATGCTTTTATTATTCAGAAGAAACATGAAAGCACTGCTGCCATGGGGATCTCTTCTGACATGCAGCAATGCCATTCGCGTTAGCTTCAAAAACTACCCCCAAACCTGCACTGTTTCCGTTGCTGAAGTCTTAACTTCCTATTAGTGTTTGTTTACTCTAAAGTTGTAGTTACAGTTTGTTGCTGTGAATACAAACGTAGAGCACTTCAGAAGCCTGACACGTGCAATTGACAATAGCTGACACAGGTTAAAAAAAAGCCTTAATGTGTCATTTCATCAGCCAAAACATTTATGTAGTTACAGTTTGTTGCTGTAAATACAAACGTAGAGCACTTCAGAAGCCTGGCACGTGCAATTGACGTTAGCTGATACAGGTTAAAAAAAAGTCTTAATGTGTCATTTCATCAGCCAAAACATTTGGTATACTTTAGTCACCTGAGAAAGTCATACTTGAAGTAAGTTGCAAAAACAGTATCAGACTTTAAAGATAAAGTCTCTCTCTCTTGGGAGAGAGACACATTGGGGTGTCCAATAGTTGTGTTTTATTTGCTTAGGAAGGATTCCCAAGTGACAAAACTCTATAAATTGTTTAACAAAACAGTATTATCTCTTATGAGCTGCTGGAAGGTGTGGCCAGAGAAGGGCAGTGGAGCTGGGGAAGGGT